GCGGCATGTGGGATCTTCCCGGACCGGGACACGAACCCGTGTCCCCTGCATCGGCAGGCGGACTCTCAACCGCTGCGCCACCTGGGAAGCCCTCTCCTTAGCACTTATTAATGTCTAAACTCTTGTATGATTTAAGGTCCACGAGGATAGGGATTTTGGTCCTCTCTGTTTCCTGCTGTTTCCCTGACCCTAGCACAGCGCCTGACACATAGTAGGCCCTCAGTAAGGAATTAGCGAATGTGCCAGTCTCAGAGGTAGTTCAGCAAGAGGCTGATGGAGTGGTACCAGGACTCGAAGACTCTCAGCCCTCCGCGATGATGGCCCTGCCATCAACCTACTTGAGCCACTCTGTTCCCAGCAGGAGGTAGGCCAGGCAGAGGGTCTACCAGCACAGGGCAACCATGATACCATTTTTTACCACTTTTTTATACCTTATCAGTGATGGATAATAAGCATGAGGCGTATAGGCCTCTGGGATCCTGTGAAGCTGGGCATGTCAGCTTTCAATGCACTGGGCTTAGGTAAGCAAAGGCAAAATGCTAGCCCACAAATGCGCTTTGTCTGGCCCCAAATGACTCCCTCTACCCACTTTCTCCAGGGCCCTCAAGTCCTTCCTGCCATTCTCTTCCAGTTTTCCCCTAGACTTCTACCCTTACTGGGAGCCTAGTCTTCCTCTATCCCTAAAGGTTCCACTCTGCCATTCCTGGGACCCCCTTTAGGGTTATGGGTTTTAGTGGATTCATGAATGATTCCGCCTAGGTAATTATAGTAACAGGTAAGATGCCTAGCACCTATTTTGTACCAAACACTGTTCTAAGTGCTGTTCAGGTATTAATTCCTTTAATCATCAAATAAGACTACAAAGTTTGCAGATGGGGGTGCAGAAACATAGAAAGGGTAAGTAACTCACCCAAGGCCATACAGCTAGTAAGTGGCTGGTCCAGGGTTTGGACCCAGGCAGTGGGGCTTAGAGCCAGTACTCTTAACTGCTGTGTCACACCGGGATCCCACGTGTACAGGCCCTTCTGGAGACGACTCCCTAACCCAGGAAGTGATCAGCCCCAGGCCAGCAGGGAAAGCCTTGCCAGTACATGGGCCTCTCAGGTCTTTGAAATCCCAACTGCTAGTGTCCAGGACCCAGAGGAGACACCCACAAAAGCTCCCATCTGCTGAGAGGTGGCTCGAAGAGCCAACGAGAGTTCTAAAGAACAAGGTTCAAAAAAGGAAGGGATCTGAGCATCTCTGGGATACCCTCAGAGCATCCCAGCTAAAAGAAACCAATGCCAAACATTTTCAGTTTCAAGATTTAGTTCTGGCAGAGATGAGGCTGAGTTTGGTCACACACCCACCGCTCTTGCCAAACTTGGAGAACGCTACTAGTCTCCTTTATAACTGTCTTCTCAGTACGGCAGCTTCTATTCTCACCAGAAGCCAATTAGAAATATCACTTGTGATGTCTTTGCATTTTATAAGCCATTTTGGAATATCTTCTTAATGATGTTGCTTCCTATGTTTCATAAAGCCCTCATGGTGCATTCCTCCCAGACCCAGGAATGATGCATCGGGGAGGCATGGACGTGAAGGGCCCAGGCCAGAGTCAGGCTACCTGTGTCCTTTCCCAGCTTCTAATGTATTGCCTGCATGACCTTGGTAGTCACTTAGCTTCCCCAAGCCTCAGTTTCCTCATCTGTAAAATGGGAATAGTAATGGTACCTTCCTCCTAAGGTTTTTACGAAGACTAAGTTAGTGATATTAGTTGTGAAGAGTATAGCACAGTTAGGACTTGCTATAGTTCTTGGGACATAGGAGGCTCTTGATCCATTTTTTTTCTATAACATTATTTGGCTGGATTTTACTTACTCTTCTTATTTTATTTCATGATAAAAATTTTGACCTTATTATATTGTGTGCTTTCATGGTAGGCTACTTCTGACTTTTTGGAGGTAGGTGCGAAAGTGTGTTTGTATATACACATAAGACACACCTACCACACACAAAGGCTTCCCAAGAGGACCTCGCTAAAGTTCCATTTCACTTCTCAGCCTGGTTCTAAAGCCCCTGTTCTAGTGCGGTTTCACTGCTACCAAGAGCCAAGTGAAATGCAACGGAAAAATCTTTTAAAATTATTTTTCCCCAAACGGTACCCTTCACTTAGATCTATGGGTTTGGTTTCAGGAACTTTGCTGCTATAATCCCACGACCCTTCTCAGTTCGTTATGACCCATACACCCAGAGGATTGAGGTCTTGGACAATACCCAGCAACTTACGATTTTGGCTGACTCCATCAATAGTAAGTAATTTACACCCTTTGAGGCCATTCTCCCATAAATAGAGGATTGTGTCTTCTTACCTTCACCATAGGAACAATAAGAGATGTATTAAATATTTAATTAAGAAGAAAAGTATCTCCAGGGAAGTCATTGATTTACTGAAAGAGAAAAACTTGGCAAAAAGGCCAGCATTGCCTTGCGTGTCCTTTCTCCTTTGACCTTCCTAGATTCCACCCCACCTCCTACCATCACACCACTTTTCCACTCTGGCTTGTCGCTGCCACGTCCTTCTTTCTCCTTTGCATCTTCACCCCTTTCTCTCTAAGTATCCACTGGATCTTGCTCTGCCTGGAATACCAACCCCTAAGGAATAGGTTCTATCTACTTTAGCAGCCATAGAGTAGCTCATCTATTGACCTTTTATTCTTCCTGGATAATGAGGATGTTATTATAGTTGCTCTTAAAAAATCACAGTGTTATTTGTTCATCGCCTGATTTTTTTCTAGCCTTCAGACTCCCTTCCAGCAACACCCACCATGCTTTCCCCTGGGCCCTGGCTTTTTGCCCATACAGTTCTTGTTTAAAATAGTCTCCTTACCACTCTCATTTAGCGGTCCCAACCCCAGTTCATCTTTTAATCGTTCATAGATATCTCTTCTGATAGGAAGACTGGTTTGGGTGTCCCTCCTACATCTTGGCATTCCCACAGATCCCCCTCTCAGAGCATTTATCATTATATTTTTTATAATTTGGTAATTGTTTACTTGTCTCCCTAACTAGACCTGAGCAGAGGGCCATGTCAGGTTTGCTGTCAAACCCCTAGCAGTTAGCCCTATTACTAAAAAGCATATTAGGTACTCAAGAGCTATTGAATAAATGGCTAAAACCACCAAAGGATTAAGCCTAAAGGGAGGAGGTCTAGGCCAAGTGGAGGTTTCTATCTCAAACAATGCTAACAAAGGCCAAAAGTGCAGGTGGGCTTGAAGTATTCCTCTCATACCCTTCTTTTGTTGCCTGAGGCCACTTCTAATACGTGGAGCTAGCTCCTTAGGTATGGCCCCCTGCAATCAGCCATCTTGAAAAAGCCCAAGGCTGATTCTCCCCCATAGACACCGTTTGGACACTCGGCTGGAACAGATCTGCTCACCAAAGAGGCCAGCTAAGGGCTCTGGAGGCTGGAGTGTGAGACAGAAGGGTCAGGCCATAGCTGTTTTCTCTCTCTTTCTCATTTCCCCTGGGGAAGCAAAAATAACTCCATAGGCTATTGTTTATAAGGAAATTTTTTAAATCACAGAACAACAAATTTAGGAACTGAAGGGTCCTTAGAGCTATGTGACCTAATATAAGGCCCCATCACCACTCTGTACTTTCTCAGGATCTAGGAAGGAGGGAGGCTGATGTGTCTCCAAGGCCCCTTCCACTTCTACGAAGAGTCTATGTCCCTGTGGCCCCTTGGCATGTGAGAACATGTCGTGAATGGAAGCAACTCCATCGTACCCTCCTTAGTCCAGTGGTCTGGCAGTCTAGGCTGACTTACCTGCTTAGACCATGCCTTCTCAAACCTAGTGTCCCTTAGAATCACTTGGAGAGCTAGTTAGAAATTAATAGCCCTGAGTCATATCCCCAGACTAAATTCACTGAATGTGTGATATGACTCAGGAGTTTGTATTTGTAATAAGGCCCCAGGTGATTCTGACACAGCGGGTTTGTGTGGCTTAGGTTCTGTGGCTTAGCTCCTTGCAAGCATCTATGGTTGGTCATGTATGAGAGAAACAGAACAGCTAGTGATTTCCCGGGGAGAAAACGATTAACTCCTTCCCTGAGAAACAGCCTATGGAAAAGGGAAACTAATTACATTAATAGCTCTAGTGCCTCCTACAACTTGGAATCGCCTATAACAGCCCAAATCCTATCATCCTAACTAAGCTGCCAGCTCCTTGAAGGTTGCGGTGATACCTAGTATATCCACACACCCCACTGATCCCCTAGTGTTTTACACACTGTGGACACTTGAAGGGTGTTTGTTCATGGTATGAGTGGCTCCTTTGTTTTTCTTTGTAGGTGAAGTTGGAATCCTTTGCAGTGCCCTCCAGAAATTAAAGTGAAGCCATGCACTGAACCTGACCCGTCGACTTGAGAATCTGTTGATGGAAATCCAGATACTTCTTTCATTTCATCTGAAAAAGTCTGAAAAGCAAACCTTAATTCAAAATAACAGCCTTGAATCCTTTCTAGAACAAGATTGAGGATCAACAAATAAATCAAAATAATCTGAAATGACAGCATGTTAATACACACCCAAAAGCATAATGGTAGATCTTTTGGGGTCATCTTTGATTTAGAGATGATAATCCCATACTCTCAGTTGAGTTAAAAATCAATAACCTGTCACATTTCATCAGAGTTAATGAAAATGTGGGACCTGCTTCATTCAACCTTCCTAAATACTTTTGTTATTTGCTCTAGAGAATTCCTAAAGGAGTATATATCACTCGTTGTGAAACACAAGTCTGTCAGAATTGAATTAACACCTTTATTGGAGTATAATTGCTTTACAATGTTGTGCTAGTTGCTGCTGTATAACAAAGTGAATCAGCTATACGTATACTTATATCCCCTCCCTCTTGTGCCTCCCTCCCACGCTCCCTATCCCACCCCTCTAGGTGGTCACAAAGCACTGAGCTGATCTCCCTGTGCTATGCGGCTGCTTCCCACTAGCTATCTGTTTTACATTTGGTAGTGTATATATGTCCATGCCACTCTCTCGCTTCGTCCCAGCTTCCCCTCCCCTTCCCCATGTCCTCAAGTCCATTCTCTACGTCTGCATCTTTATTCCTGTTGCAAAGGTCATTTTCTATTTCAGGGAACTATGATTCTAATTACTGCTTTGTTATTTTGCCTGTGGAGATTTTCTTTAATTCAGGAGCCTATTAAAATAGTTATAAATATTAAAGTTCAAAGTGTAAAATCAAAATATTTCTGTATGCTTTATTATAATCATAAATGCTGCTGTGGAGAGTAGTAGGACTCCCCATCTAACTCCTGCAACGTGCAGTGTCATTCTCCAGTTGATTGTCAAGTCTGCTTTTGGAGACATTTTGAAGACCCTTAAGATGCAATAGATGTTAATTAAAAGCCTGGCTGGTAGATATTCAGTAAATATTCATTGAATGAATAGAGGAATGCATTATTAAACATCAAGTCTTCAACAGATGCGAGAATTTTAATTATGTTTAAAAAAACTTTAGGGGTTACACAATTTTTTAGTTTCACATATTTCTTGGAATGAAATAGTCCTCTCACTGCCCTTAGAAATATATTATCTGGATAAACTTGTGCAGAAAGAATGATCAGATTCCCAGATTTCCAACCCATCGCAGGGGCTCATTGTGATAATCCAAGTCAAGTCAACCGATTTTTGCTTTTATTGGTTGTGCATTTTACACGAACACACGAATATGAGAAACAGTGGGGAGAGTAACAATGGCTTCAAAGCTTTGCTTTAAATTTTCACACCACTCTACCGTATTATTTTGGAAATAGTTAAAGGATTTTTGTAGTACTCCTTCAAGTGTGATTCTCGGACCAGTTGTATCATCATCAACAGTAAATCCTAGGTGCCATCCCAGCTTACCCAAATAGAATATCTGGGGATGGGACACAGAGACCTGTGTTTTTAAGTACCCCAAGCGATTCTTTTGTGCTCAGTCAAATCTACTGGGTGCATCAAATTTGAGAAAACCTGACTTCTGGTGGTCAGTTCTGCCACTTGCCAATTAGGTCACCTTGCATAAGTCACTTCCTCTCTTTGGATCTCAGTTTAACTCTAACAATGAGGCATTAAACTGGATGACTCAAGATCCCTTCCAGCCTTGAAATACATTTCACATGCTAACATGTGTCTTTAAACAGCTGTCCCTAGTGTATTAATAGGGTGTAATAATACCTGCCTAAGTATGCCAGCAGGGTGGAATGAGCAATTTGGTCTGAATGTGTCCGAGGTTTCATTGCTTTGAAGCTGGGATTTTCTTGTCTGTATGTATTTCCTCATGCCTTTGAAGAACCCATTGACAAGCACTGACTCTAAAAGTGGAAGTGTGCTTTTTCTCTGGTGTTCCTTTAGTGCCCAAACACTCTGCAAAGGGACTGTTTTGATAACTGTTTCTTTACATTAAACGCAAATTAGAAAATTTCTTGACTCTGGAACTGAAATATTGTATGGTATTTTAGACTGGAGATTTTATTTTATAGTGATTTTTAGTCCTACTGAAGATAACTTAGTGTGTTCTAAGTCAAAGCTTAGATTTAGGTTGTAATTTTGGCAGGAAGAAATTACACACTGAATGGAAGATATAGTCTCTGAAATTTTCATGTGTTACTCAGTACTTTTTATCTGGATATAAAAGCTACAGCGACGGAATTCAATATATTTCCATGTGTTAGTATTACTATCTATTTAATATATAATAAGCGAGCAGTTTTAAAAGAAACAATATTAATGTTTTACTGACAGCTAATCTTGGTGTGTCCAAACAAAAGAAATATATGGAAGAATATTAAAACTGCGTAGCATTAGAGTTCAATGAGTTTTTGAAAGGAGGAAACTAAATTTTCATTCTAGATTTCTAAGTTATATCATTTAGTTGTGCTTCAAAGAATCTACCACTAAAATATCAGCTTCAAAAATACAACAGCGTTGATTATCTCCACCTCTGAAAGCCTCAGCACGTAGCACATGGTAGGTGTTCAAAATCTTTTCAAAAATTTCCTGAGTTGAATCACAGGGAGTGTAGTGAAGATTGTCTCTCACAAATAAACTATTTTGCAAGAAAAAATTGATAAACTTGCAATTTTCCCTTTTAAAAGCTATTGAAAGTTTTGCATCTTAGTCTAAGCTATGATTTTTTTTTTAAAGAAAGATATTATCCCTTGTATAGGCTAGTTTATGGCTAGATAGTTTGTATTTCTACTCCTGCAACAACTGACGTATGGTAGTGCTTAATAAATGTCAATTAATAAAGGGGACAAAATTGCATCAGTGAAACTTCTTAGTTATCCACAGTGGGGCTGAAACGGTCAGAAAGCAATGAGTGACTTGCCTAATAATTGCAAAAAAGCACAGAGGAGACAAAAGAAGAAAGCTTAGTAAAAAATGGACTTTTCAATAGAAAAAGAAAGAAATGTGATCAAACCTTTCTCTTCTCGATGGAGTCTGCACCTACACACACAGGCACTGCTTTTTAATAGCTTTCCCGTTCAGTTTCAAAAACTATAAACAGTAGTAGGCTTGATACATGCTATAAATGAACCTAGTAGTTTCTGTGCCTTGAATTTTCTCATTTGTAATCTTGCAACTTTGCTAGCTTCAAGGCACAATTTACCTTCTCACCTGTAGTAAGCACAATTCCTTTAAAGCAGGGGTCCCCAATACCGGGGGGGTGGACCGATACCAGTGCTCGGCCTGTTAGGAACCGGGCCGCACAGCACGAGGTGAGTGGCAGGCGAGCGAGCGAAAGCTTCATCTGCCGCCCTGCATCGCTCTCCATCACTTGCATTACCGCCTGGACCCTCCCTCCCTCCCCCCGCCCCG